GGACAAGAATCTTTAACAAAAAAAGATAAAAAATCAATAAAAAATTAAAAGAAGAATCTTGTCTGATCTATCAAGAAAAAATTGAGGATTCTTGTCTGAAATAGCAAGAATACCCAGAAGAACGTCGATCAGTGAAAGAAACAAGAAAATGAATGAGTTGAGAAAAAAGAAAATGAATCAACAATCAAATTAGTCAACGCACCGCTGCTCTATTCGGCACTTTTCTTTTCTCAATGGAAATGGGAGAACAGAAAAAAACTACGTGAGAGAATTCCGTTCTAGTATAAGGACGAGATGGTCTGAAGATGAGAGTGAATGAAAGGAAAAAGATGTGTAATAACAGTGAAGCTAATAAAAAGAGACGGAAGATAATGGTTTCTACACGAAAGAAATAATGTCGTTTTCTTTCAATAAGTTTGACAGAAGCTAATAAAAAACTATCATTCTTGCAGATCGACAATTTGATAAATGGTCGAATATTTGACTCGAAAACGTGCAGGATTTACTTTGAACAATGGAAAGTACATTATTAGATTGGGAGTGAAAGCGAGTTTTAATTTTTTAATTAGTTGTTAAAATGGCAGGCTCATAAAGATAAGCATGTAATTCAGACAAATGATAATATTGGAAATGGTAATTATTTTGAACAAATAGTGAATGTACATAATAATGAAGACAATACATTCATGAAAGTGTTCACTGAGAATATTGTTAATAAGATGAAAAGATCTAAAAATAATTATCAATATAATGAGTATGTTAAACGTTTTGCATTATCATTGTACATGTTGGCAGGCCGAAACGGGTATGAATTTGACACTGTGAAATTCAGAGACTCTGAAATTTTGATAGGTCTGATGAATTTCAGCGTTCCTTTTTAGCGTTCTCTTTGAACGTAACGTTAAACCACGTTGGCGTTCCTTGAACGTGAACGCTAAACATGACGCTTTTGATCGTGAACGCGAATGTTTTGGTGAACGTTAACGTTATTTTATATGAACGATGCGGATATTGTGTGAATAGTATTGCAAAACGTTATATAGCAATTTTACTTAGTAAAGGAACAGCTTTCTCCACTACCAGTTATATTCAGTGAAAAATCAATGCTCGTTTGTCCCAGATAGGTTAGGATAACAAAGAAAAACGTATGTAGTAACTGTAATGGTTTTAACCAAGGAACTTCGGTTTCAGTGCTGGAAAAACTAGTCATCTGGTCAGGAAATCCGAGATCTGTTCTTGGAAGAATCAATGTCTTGATATCAGAGAATCAAGAGGTGTCCTTTTTACATTGTACTGGTCAATGCCCTGAGCAGACCGTCGGATCCTTCACTAGAGTTTCTATTGATCAGATAAGACCAAGCTGAAATATATATTCTTACTGCAATACAATAATAGAAGTTTATATTTACTGCAGACGATATGAACACCGTTCGTATAAAAAAAGTTCATGTCAGTGCTTTAACGTTCACGTTCAAGGAACGAAACGTGAACTTTTGCAGGCCTAAATTTTGATATTCACTATATTTACCAATTGTAGACCTCATTGGTAAAATATATAACTCTTGTTCAAAAATATTTGGGAAAAATTTTGATTCTTATAAGCATCCGTCCTTTGTTCATCAGTTAACGAGAATATCGGGAGAAGGCTCCAGATTTAGCACTAAATTCTAGCGCTACCAAGAGTCTAGAAGACATATTCTTCTTGTTTTCAAGTTGAGTTAATTTTCCTGATTTGAATGGTGTGGGACCTTTCGTAAATTAAATACGGCTTCATGAAAAAGTGTCGTTGAATGCTTGAGGACGCCTCATTTTGTTCAGAGTTTGCTCTACGCGATGCAGCTGTTTACAAAAGCGTAACGTATCGGCAGAACTCGATGTGCGAAAAATTAGACGTAAGATTCACTATCCTTACTTGTTTTAGCTAATCAGATGTATAAGCTAGTCTATATCTATTAATGATAGCGAAATGTAAAACAAGTAGATTCATAGTCGGCCTTTCACATTATATAGGGAGAAATTTCTTATCTTTTTGGCTGTAGCATAAATCATTCTAGATCTCTGTCTCAATACAAAACGATAAAGAAGAAAAAGCAAAATAATATTACTTAGAACAAACTATATAATAGTCTCCTTTAAATATAGAAGAATAGAGGAGATGAGATAATGAAGCAACAAAGTTCTTTTTCTTCTCATTCTTCCGCATGGTGTTCAAACGTCACCAGATTTTCTTCAAATTCTACCACTCTGTATTATCAAAAACCTTTGCGTGAGGTATATAGCCTGTCTCACGGCGAGTCTAATCAGCTTGTCCTTTTTCATATGACTCATCGGGCACATAGTGAAAAGTGGATTTTTCCCACGTTTACTCATTTTTGATGCATTATAGTGATTATAGCAGAGATGAGCAGCTCCGACTCTGGGTTTGTAAACAGCTGCATCGCATAGAGCAAACTCTGAACAAAATGAGGCATCGTCGAGCACTCTACGACACTTTTTCATGAAACCGTATTTCATTTGGGAAAGGTCCCACATCATCCAAATAAGAGATCAAGTTCTGGTGAAATAAATTGCATCATGTTCTCCAAGAGAAAGCCGCGTAAAACAGTGTCCCGCTGCCTCAAGAAAAAGTTCTTTGGAGAGAGAGTTTGTTCGATCCTGAAATCTGTGATTTTTCCTATTTTTCGACTCAAGCTGAATGAAACCTTGTGCAAGAAGCGAGATTTCTTAAAAGAAAAGAAAATTCCTTGGCTTTCTTCAGATGAAGATCGTGATAATAATGTTAAAGAAAACTTTCACTACTTTGTAAATTGGTAATAGAAATCATATTAGCGCCGACTATTTGATCCATATAAAATCCTCACCCATTAGGTGTTTTTGTTATTTAACTTTGTTAGGTTTAATGCCAGCGAAGGACCTACGAGGGTCGAAAATTTCTTCCTGGGCGTTCGTTCCTGGAAGCAGATGTATAAGGTGCTTGTCTATATGAGTTTATCGTACTTGTGTATTGAGGCACGAATTAGTTGAATAAAAACCTTACGCATCACCTTGTCTGTTTTTTCCATGGAGCGTTCAAGCATCTTCTATTTACGAAAATGAATGATGACTAAGTCAGACAGATCCGTACACTACAGGTCGGTCATATTTGAATATAATTGTGCTTCTAGTGAGAGAAATAGGAGTTGTATTGTATCCTTCAGATGCCTTATTCCTGCATATACAAGAAAATTCTCAATCTTTAAAGATAATTTTTTGACGGTTTTTAAGCGTTTTTTCGTGGAAGTTTGGAGTTGAACAAACACAAAAGTTTTCTAACTACTTGTGTCACTATAGATTATCGACGATGAGGAATTTCATACACATCTGGAGGTGGCGATGATTTAGCCTAAAATGACTATAATAATTAGTAAGCTATTGTTTAATTCAGAGTTTCATAGTTCTTTCTAATTTATAGGATGTTTTTTTGTTCGTTTCGACAATAAGAATTATATTCTTGAAAAGCTTGAATAAAAAGGAAGCTAACTGAAACTATTTGGTCTGACTGACATTTTTTGGTTAGCTAAGCTTTTCAGCCAAGATCGTTTCGATATGTATGCAACATCAGCTAAATGTAAGAAACTAGAGAGAAATTTTATCTTAAAAAAAGATATGAACTACGTTTTTCTGAGTCATCGAAGGTTTATTATGCATGAGATACTTAGCTGTAAAAATAAGTTTTCAATAACACTGATTTGTGTGACCGTTCTGTAAAACACAAAATGCGTGATGATCAGCGAAGTGGAACGTGGAGTAAACATGAAAAAAACATATGTGTAGTAACGAAAAGTATATGTACGCTTCAGTAGCGGCTTTCTTATTCATCTTTGGACACAAACGTTAAAATTTGGTTTTCAACATGATCATTGTTCAATGTGAGCATTTGACTATATATGTCATTTTATAATATTGTGAATGAAAGCCATATTTTTATAAAATCAAAATTCAAGGTTATAAACAGTTTAAGTTTTTAAAACAGAAAAATGCAGCAAAAATTTCCCGTCTGAGAAGACTTGCCAGACCATATTTTCTACGAATTGTTTTAGCGACTAAACGCCTTATATTCTTTGGAAGACACTGAAAATTTCTATCTAGTTTTAACAAAAGTTTCGACTGACAACGAAGAAAAATTTCAAAAACTAAGGAAACGTCACTCCATATTTTTTGCTTAAGGGCCCTACCCCTGAGAAATTATCTCCGACACCGTACATCCGATCTTGACGAAAATTTCCCTAAATGTTAGGTACAATGAATTATGGGAATTAAAAATTTTTTTGTCTCCAATTCTTACGCTTCAGGAGTTTTCTAGAGATCAAGGTCTAAAAAGGACCCTAAAGTGTGTCACAAGATTTTTTAATATAATTCAAGCCGGAGAGTTCGGGTTTGTTTTATTTTAAGCTAGACACCTAACTACATATACTGATCGGCGCTGATTTTTTAATTAAGCCTTTGTTGGTTTTCCAGGCAACCGACAACCTCCAAAACCCGGAAAATCCTTCCGGATTTATTGAAAATTATCAGTTAGACAAAAAACTAAGTCCTACTTCAAAAATCGACGCCGGTCAGTCGATGTAGTTTCTTTTCCTCTTTTAAACAAAAAAAGAATGAACTCGCCACGACAAACTGCTATCAAAAATTTTGTCTTTCCATGTGCATATCTCAAAATCGATTTTCTTTTTACCGAAAATCACCATTTCTGAGGGGGCGGGGTCTTAAATTAGAATTGTTTTTAATAAAGTAAGTAATCTCGAAGCACGAGCTACCCGGTCAGAACCACCTTGATGTGACGTCGCTGAAAAACAGTCTCAACTTCTTTCAAAGCAGTTTCCGAGACGTGTCCAAAGCACCAAACTACTTTTTTTCATTCGGACTCTTTAGAAAGAGAACCACTAGTGGTGAGAAACAAGATAATTTCATATAACTGTTTTACTACACACTCTCTTTTCTCGAACTGTAATAGATAATAAATGGTTACATGGGCATCTCGATTAACGTATATTTTAATAATAATCTTAAATATTTCAACCTGGCTTGACCTTCAGGGTATTTGGATTGAACTACCATTAATAATTCCGTATGCGCCCGAAGCCTGGTCTTTACCGTCAATATTATCGATAATAACATGTTCAGCAAATATATTTCCTTTACTGATTATTCTACACAGACGTGTTGTAGGTAGCGAAAAATTCTCAGCAATACCTTATATTTATGCTGTTATAATAGTGGGTGTTATTTCATGTTTAATTATTGCATTATTTTGGGATAAAACGGTTTTTATTTTTCATCATCAACGTAGTCTAATACTTCTTTTGGCAACATTTTTTCTCTCAATGTTAGATTGTTCATCAACGGTTATATATTCCGATTATATGAAACATTTTCGTGCCTATTATCTAAATGCTATGTTTTTCGGTGAAAGTTTAACATGCTTCATTCCAACAATTATTGCAATTGTACAAGGTGTTGGAGGAGAAATAGTATGTCAGAATGTTACGCTATCAGATAACAGCACAGCTCTAGCGCCAACTTATTCTCAACCAAGATTCAGTGTTTCAGTTTATTTCTTCATATTAACTGTAGTCATTATGTGTTCTTTATGTGCATTTATTATCCTGAGATGGTCGCCAGTTACAAAAATTGCTGATGCCTCAGTACAGGTATGATAACTACTTCCCATCGTAAGCTACCGTACTTACATTTCTCTTGTGGAACTCAGAAAGTGTGACGCAGCATGCTACTATTAAAAGAGTTCTACCCTAGTAGTCAGTGAGCTATTGCATTAAAATCGCGCGCTAGCTCGCCAGTGATAAAATAGTAATTATTAGTCCAACAAAAAATATTTTCGTGGAAAAATGACTACAGAAAATGCTTTAGTACAGTGTACCAGGTTAAACGACTTTTTGTATTTTACTAGCTAGTTTGAAAGGTCTATGTAAGTAACACTTCACGTATTTGCACGAATTGAAAATGTATCATTTAAAAATGACTCAGTAAAACCTTCTACTCTTACTTAAGCATCCATCCGTATTCTGAGATTTCTGAAAGGGGAACAAACCGTTAAAGCGAATATCTAAATGGAAGAAGACAGCAAGGCTAACGAGAGAGGGAATCACCCAAGTGTCTTAGCGTTCTTTCCTTTACACATACATAGTTATTGGTAATTTCTGATGTTCATCACCATCTGGTATTCATGTATGCCCATACAGTTCTTGGAAGTAGATCTTTGGAAAACTAGTCTGTGGAGACCAATCTTAATACGCAACATGAAGAGATTTTGATCTGTCTCTCATGTAAAGCATATCGAGCTACCTGATTTTACATCCCTATTTACTAAAAAGTAGATATGTTACAAACCCTAACCCGACCAAAGAACTGGGTTTGGATTTGGGGTACTCAAGTCTAGAGTTGGATTTGGTATTGTGTTGAACTTGGGTTAAAAAGAGCCTAGCAAGATGCTTTATTTCATGGTAGTCCATGTGAAAACACAATGTGCAATGTTTTGTTTCATCCTGTGGATATGTGTGTGCAAGACGCTAACGATGAGAACTTTCTTTAAATTAGGTGAAATGTCTAAAAAAGTTGAGTTCTTTTATGCTGTTTATTTATAATATGACAGAGTGGACATTCCAATGACATTTGGTACTTCGCTACGAAAAATACTTTCTGCCTAGGAATGATTGCCATTTTCGAGTACATATGGCTTCGTATATCCACGTTTCAAACTTCAATTTAAAAGGAAGTTCACTTCTGCGGAAAAAGAGACAGAGCGCTGAAAAGCTGCTTTATCTATGATTTTTTTTGAGAATTCTACCATTTTTATAGGTTTTTCACTAATTCGGGAAACCAATAAGTTATCTAGCCAGCTTTTATGCATTGATATACTGTATTTGGTTTATTTGTTTTATTGTACGTATAGGACGACGAAATTCAATTATTTCCTGATGTTGCTCAAGATACTCCAACTATGGAACAAAATGTGATTAGGCAGACACCAGGTGTACATTTCGTATTATTAAAGAATGATTATCATTATGTATTATTGTTAACTGGGATCAATGCCTTCGTTTTTATTGGTTGCCTCCCATCAATGATAACATATTCTCTATTGCCATATGGTCAACGAGCGTTCTATTATGGTTCAATATTGGCACCATTAGCTTATCCATTTGCGTGTTTTATAAACATGTTTATAAAATTAAATTTAAAAGGAATTCTATTTTTATCCTTAATTAATATAATTAATAGTTTATTTATCATGTATATCGCATTTACCAGTCCGTGTCCAGTATTACACGACACAAAAACTGGCGCTTTATTACTTAATTTTGTATGGATAATAACCTCATTTTGCTTTGGATATATTCGTGTCAGATGTGGAAATATAATCAGAGAATCTTGGTCAAAAGAAGGTGGGTTGTTCAACTTTGGTTTAACGTTTCTGATTGGTGGGATTTTAGGCACAGTCCCATTTTTCTTTATTATTAATGTCTTCAAATTATTAAATGATCGCAAACCATGTATTCGCTACTGTCGGTATTAATCGATGCGTCATGTGTGCAGCAGCCACTAACTTAATGTTTTCCGTTTTCAATCAAAGATATTCGCATAATTCAACAAAGCAGAGAACCTGCTTTTTCTTACTTACGAGGGAACATTTTCAGCTGTTCAGTCCCGATTTCTTTCAGACATACATCAATCGATAGCCTATATTGAGATAGTAAAGATAGTAAAAAACCTATAAGGATTTATCCCCATGGGTCTTGAAGACCCGATTTTCTGAAAAACCTGTTTTCCAGAAAAACTAAAAGGATAGCCAAAGCGTTCTTTAATAAGGCATGTTTGTAGCCCAGAACTTTCTGAATAAAATGAGACATCTCCCAGCTCTACACGATCTTTCTTTGTAAAGTTATAAAGTTTACAAGAAAAGCCCTGAATGTTCATTGTCAGCTCAAACCTACTGAAATAAGACGAAATCAATTTAGGGAGGACTTTTCTTGTAAACTCTATAACTTTACAAAGAAAGATCGTGTAGAGCTGGGAGATGTCTCATTTTATTCAGAAAGTTCTGGCTACAAACATGCCTTATTAAGGAACGTTTTGGTTATTTTTTTAGTTTTTCTGGAAAACGGGTTTTTTAGAAAATCGGGTCTTCAAGACCCATGGGGATAAATCCTTATAGGTTTTCTACTATCTCGATATAGGCTATCGATTGATGTATGTCTGAAATATTTTACAAATATCTCCATGATGTAGTGCAAACATTTGTGAACAAAATGAGTCGTCTCCAAACTCTCTACGGCATTTTTTCATGAAACAGTATTCAATTTATGAAAGGCTTCATGCCACCAAATTGATGGTAAGAAGAAAAGGACGATATTTGAATCTATTTAGACATTTGAGAGAATGTCAAGCTAAAAGTTTTGTTGTGAGTAGAAGGTTTATATGCCATCCTTTCTTATGAAATTCTTCTTTTTTTAATCTTGCCACAAAAAGAGTAATCCATACGCGGACAAAGACAATTTTCTCCTAATAAAACTGCTATAGAAAAAATTTACATTTTTATTATAATTGTGAAATAGTCGACAGATATTTTTATATTTGTAATTATAATAAGATAAATCTTAATATTCTTGTGTTTGTAAGAATTCTAGTTAACCATTAATGTTAGATGACTTCTTTCGATGATTTGCCCGATCTTTGTCTGTGGTGAAGTTCTTCAGCCACTCATTCAAGTTACTCATTACTATTTATCACTTATTAATTTATTTAAAGTTCCCGGGTCAAAAATGCCGATTTTCGTCAAAAACATCGATTTTGAGAAAAGCACATGGTTGGATAGCCCAGAGTGTCTACTGTCCAATGGCATAATGTTTGTGTCGCCAGGATCGGTTTTTCATAGGTTTTGAGCGAGTTTTCCAGAAGCCCTAAAAGAAGCCTGGAACATTCGGTAACGATACATCGGAGAAAGGTTTGTTTTTGATATGTAGATAACACCTATAGCTAGAAGTTGACAGAGTCAGATTATTAAATTATGCTTCTATCTTTTATAGAAACGAGGATTTCTAAGAAACTTTCCAAGGATTTTTCGGACTTTAAAGTTCTAGTAGGCACCAGAAATCAGTAAATTGAAAATTCCAAAATCGGGCTCTGTCAACTCCTTAACATAGGTGTTTACTGCAAAACAAAAACTGCCCGAGCTATCCATCGTTTACCTGGAATGAGAACTCTTGTACGTGGTAGATGCCTACTTTTGGCCCTTGTTGTGGCGCCCTCTCACGAACAGCTGCAAGTGACGCCAAAAAGAATTTTCGTTATCACACTTTGAGAATGGTCAGCATTCCTCAAAGCTTAATTCAGAACAGACCTACCTGGGCTGAGATAGATTTCTGTTCATTTTGGAATCAAATTTACTCAGATTGTCTTCCAAATCTCAATGAATTAATAATGAGCTTATTTCATGTTTTTCTTATTCACTATCTATCGAAAATGATGAACATCCTCTCGAACAATTTTCATCTTTCCTATGTGCGGTCATAGGAGCCCGGGAGTATTTGAGAAAACCGAAAAATTCGATGACTGGTGAAAATTCACGGTTTTTCGGTGCATCAGCGACCCTATCAGCGTTTCATCACTCGTCTCTTATATACTACATCCTCTTTAGAAAAGAAGCCTGATGCAATATCTCTTTGTATCATCTTAGAGCTGTTCCATGTCTGTTGACTTCAACTAATTTAACGTCGCTACGTCATCATCCGAGTAAACCACTTCTCACAGGGCCAACGGGAGAAAGTGAAGATATTGAGCTTCAAAGAAAAGTTACTCGTAGTAATTCGCAATTTCTTTCTGTTACTCCTGAAGAAAAGTGCAGATGATCAAGATCTTCAACAATATAACACAAAAAGTACAAAACGAAATGAGAAACGAAAGAGCGCCATCAACTCAAGGAACCATTCTATCTTTTGCCACTAACAGATCTTTTCACCAATAGTGATCACGTGAACTATTCTGAGCCATAGATCAGGTCACCATGTAGGTCAGGTACCCAAGTAAAAAATCTTGACTGCAAAACTTGATAAAAGCTTGGAAGATTTCTTAAGTTTCTGTTCAATTCTTTCAAGATCTTATCCACATTTATCGATATCTCAGAAGAATCTTGACAGATATCAGATATCTGTCACGATTCTGAGATCGACTTGCAGTTCTTTGTACAAATTCTTGTAGTTACCGTTCTTTCACCTATCTTGTCCAAATATGGAACTAATTTTCCTAATTAGTGATTATATTAATGAGTTCAGAAAAATACGCAAATCTTTTCAAGATTTTGATACAGAAGTTTCGAGATATGTCAGACTCGCATCCGTAGTAAATCTTGACCAAGACGTTGATCAAGAAATCTCAAGAAGCAAATCTTTAAAGAACTTGTGCAGATTTTGACTTTCTGTAAAACGTGGAGTAAGCATCTATTGAGAATTCTGTCGTATTACTTGGCTAGACCAGGTCAATATATAGGTAATATTGCCTTGCGACTCATCCTCAGGGTAATCAGGTAATATTGCTTGGCTCACTCTCATGCCATCCTAATAGAGAATTCGCAAATACATCATATACAGATAAAACGGTTTTTATTTTTCATCATCAACGTAGTCTAATACTTCTTTTGGCAACATTTTTTCTCTCAATGTTAGATTGTTCATCAACGGTTATATATTCCGATTATATGAAAC